AAGAAGCGGAGGTGATGGAAGGGCTTAAATATCTCTGTGTTCACCTCGACAACAGACTTGACTGGAGATGCAACTGTGAAAAATGATTTTTCTTTTGCCTTGTGATAAAATGAATATTTTACCAAAAGAAGATTTAAGAGTTTTGAAAGGATTGGCAACAAATTGTGGAGGCCGTCACTCATCACACTATCTGAAAGCTTTATCAGTTTAGCTTCGTTTTGATAAATTTTACATTTGCCTTTTTCAAATTACTTTCTTCATGCATGGATTTCCTCAACCTGCTGCAGGAAGTTCATCAACTTTCTATGATGCTAAGAGGCAAGAAGCTGATTTACAAAAACGCTAGCATCTTACTGACCTTCCTGCTGTTTCCCAAACACATATGGACTTGGGGAGATTATGGGACCACTTGTTGTTGTAAGTGATGGGGTACTTGTATATGGCAGAGCTCCCAGGTGAATCTGAGCAGCTGAACAGAGCTCAGCAGCACAGGGAAGATATATGACACAATTAAGCAGAGCTTGGTGGCACTTCTGTGACTAATCACCTCCTTTTCCAGCACCTCCGAGCACAGGCAAAGATTATATAAAGAACAGAGAAGTGTTATTATTGTAAATTCGAAAATGTTTTCCATGAATTTATAAAGAATAAAATTGGGTGGGTAGCTCTGCTGCCTTGCAGCAAGAAGTTCAATTCCCAGCCCGGGGTCTTTCTGCATGGAGTTAGCATGTTCTCCCTGTGATATGGTGGGTTCATTCCAGGTATTCCGGCTTCCTCCCACAGTCCAAAAACAAAACTGTTAGGTTAGGTTGTTGGCTTCTGTGTGTGTGAATGGTTGTTTGTCCTGTTTGTCTCTATATTGCCCTGCGATGGACTGGCGGCCTGTCCAGGGTGTACCCTGCCTCTTGCCCGTAGACAGCTGAAGATAGGCACCAGCACCCCTTGAGACCCCAGCAGGGATAAACCCTGATAATTACAAACAAAAAGAAATAGAGCATGGCCATATAGGTGCTTTTAATATAACAATTACTGCAACTTTGGTTTATTTTTAAAACATAAATAACAAGCAGTTTTTGCAATTGCTGATACATGTGCCTTCTATGACTTGAAGCGAAACTGACACCTTTAATAACTTGAATCAGTTTTATTCATTAAGCTTTTGCACAAAAAAATGGGATTTTCCATCCACTTTGTTCTCAATAACGCATTTAGATAGTTAGTTTTTGTTAGATAGTTTTTTTTTCTTTTAGGAATACATCATTTTTACAAAAGAAGAAGACAGGGTTGAATTCATGCAAAGCATAGTATTAGTGTATCTTATTAATTGGGGAACTTGGACTGCCAAGTGTTGATCAGGCTGTTTCACTGTAGGATTCAGACTCTTTAAAAAAAACATTTTTGATGCTTAGTAAAGCACAGTTTGACTCTTATGATTTAAATCATAACCAAACATTAGGCAAGGCAAGTTTATTTGTTTAACACAATTCAGTAGAAGGACAATTAAAAGTGCTTTACATGAATTAAACATTAAATAAAAGCAGAATAAAAGCAAATAAAGATAATTAAAAAAAAAACAATAAAGGTACTGCAACAAATAAAACAGTTCGACAGAAGTTGAGGAGCCTCCATGAGCGGGGAGTCCATGTTAATTTCTTTGAGATAGGATGAAGCATAGTCATGTGACCTGAATATAATCTGGAGTAATAGGGGAAGCCATTGGAGTGGCTGATATATTAGTTAGATTAATGTTCTTTTTGAAACAGTGAATAGCAACATTGAAGCAATTAAAAAATATCTTGGCTTTTTTGGGCTTTTGAAAGCATCAAGCATAGTTTAGTCATGATAAATTGACTTTCAAGTCACAGTTTTTCTTTTTACTGATAAAGATAGACATAATGATTGCACAATCTTACGCATTCTGTGATCCCTGGAATTAGTTGAATTATTAGCCGAGTTACTAATAAGATAGGGCATACTCTCCTGCAACATCAGTTTTTCCAAGTATTCAGTATGCTGAAGCGAGTGAGCCTTCATCATTGCAGACAAAGCTTCTGAACTGATGAGACTTCTAACAAATCTGTCGGTATGATCTGATTCAATTGTCTCAGCAAAGTGCCTTGAGATGACATGTAGTGTGAATTGGCCCTATATAAATAAACTGAATAGAATAATGCATCCTGAATAACATTTTGTTTAATGATAGCTACATAATTTGCATTACCTAACACATAACAAGTATATGTTTAGTGGTATGTTATCCCTGGGTTGTTGGACTCTTCCTATTTTAATATGACAACTTAACATGCTGCATATCTTGACGTTTGATCACGCAGCATTCCAAACCACTTTAGTTTATATATATATATATATATATATATATATATATATATATATATATATATATATATGGAAAATATTTTTTATGAAAATCAACTTTTGAAGTGAGTCTTTAACTCTCTTCTGTCTAAAGTGGTTTTGTTTTTGTTAGGCTGTCTCGGATCAGCAAAGGAACTTTGTACCTCTGGTTTTCTTCCTAAACATCAACCGTATTGCACAGAAAGACGTACCTATTGATAAAATGAAGCTTGATAAAACACATCTTGCACCTCCTGTGGTGTGTACTCTTGCCTTTTTATGCACATCTCATTTATTTTGACAATGTTGTAGCTTGTAAGCTCAACAGGTAAGCCTGCTGTCTTTGTGTCCAACATGTGTTGCACCTACAGGGGGTAGGGTGCATTTCCTTTGCTTCCTGTTGCACACACCATAACGGCCTCTCAGTCCACTGCGAGTGGACAGACAGAGCAGTCATGTGGTAATTAGCTTTCCTAATTAAACCCAACCTCAGGCTTTGTTCTGCCATCTGGATCCAGCGTTCATCCTCCTGTGTGTAAGACTGACTGACCAACTCTTGTTTTTCCTCACAATCCAAGATGGAAAATGACTCCTGGTGCATTACTTAGTCAAATTTCAGCCTCTGAACCAGTATTTAACCCCTGATCTGCAAATTCATAAATAAACATGCAGCTGAGAAACAATGAGCTCTTAGTTTTACCTTTGCACATTTAGCTTTGTTCATTTTTCTGCTGTATCCTCCTACACACTCTTTACATATGAATGACACCAAACAATGCACTGCATTAGTGGATTGCTTTAATGAATTCTTCAGCTTTGGACTACTTCTCAATGAGTTGCATTTTGTTGGAATCCTCACACTCCTACTCAGCGCATTCTTGAAATTTATTCAATGTTAAATTCACAAGGATATTGTTAAGACTCGACAGTCAGTCTTTTTTATAAATGCAGCTTCACATTTGAAGAGAGGGTCTGGCATGCACATTCCAAGTCAACTAAATTCCTCTGTAATTATCTGAAAATGACAGAGAACAATTATTAGCAGCTATAACAGAGTAAATGTTCTTCTTTCGCTCTGCGGAAGGAAGAAGAAACATCCAAAAAAGCCGAAATTGTGAAATTGATAGAAAGCCTAAAACCAAATAAAACAGCCATGTGTTATTATGCATAAGAAGTTTCACTATGAGTCATATTGTCTGTCGCAAACAGAAGCTTTAGCTGACAGCCAAACGCAGGAAGAACAGTGAGTCATACCAGCCTAGCTCACAAGAACCCTACTTTATGCCAGGTCCTATGTGATGTATGTCTGCAAGTGTGTGTGTGGTAGCAAAAGAGAAACACTGACAAACCAGAGATGCGGGCAAGGCGGGCATGGATGAAGTCTTTACAATAGAGGGATGTGCGACAGAGAGGGGGGAGCACTGCTGCTGAGCGAACAGTGGGTCTCTTGTGCTAAAGATCGCCTGACTAATAAAATGTTTCTGAGATCTAGAGGGGACCACACAGACTGGATATAAACATCTGAACTGCACAACAAATTGTCACCTAATAGCATAAATAATATTAAACCTCTGGCATTACAAAACTGTACTATGAATGTCATTTGAGGAATAAATTGGAGTACCTTTTACATATCCACAGAATGAAAAATCCCACAGAGGGGCATTGCGTCAAGAATGCAGAATTGCAGCTTAGTTACAAAGTATTTTGAAGGAAGCTTGTCATATGCAGGTCGTATATATTTAATACTAATAGAGGTGAGACTAAATACCATGGTGAGATTTAAAAGAGACATCTGAGGCTTTTGAAAATTTGTCTGGAGCGATGACTCCCATGAGAGATAAAAAATGTGAAACTGGCCTTTTACTGTACGGAAAATAATCTGTTATTATTGGACAGCCAAAATGGCAAGCAATTCTCAATAAATTTGCTCTGAAAGCAAACAAAGATGTGAAAAAGGCTAAAAAACCCAAAATGTTATGAAATGACCTAGAGCAGGCTTTTGCTACTGTTGATATAGAAAATGTACATTTGTTCTATGAGAGCGAAATGGAACATGTTTAACCTTCATGGTAGATGTACAAGGAGGAAATCTTTGCTCTGTATGGAATAACATGAGAAAAAAAAATGTTCTGGGAAAACACAGTACAGGACCAGCAATGCTGGAATAATATGATAAGGAAAGATTACTGTAAAACTGAATTATTTGGACACCAGACTAGATTATATCTTGGGTGAATTACCAAAATTATCCAATCTGGGAAAGGAAATCCCCCCAAAATATTTCCCAATGCAACTTGGTTTAGTGTTCTGACCTGGCCACCCAAGTCTAAGCCCTGATCTCTCATCTCATTAAACAACATTGGGGTGACAAAAGCAGACCCTCTATCGCCCAGCTAAGAGTGATGATAGGAGCAAATATATTAAATTAATGTAAGAGGCTTGATGATTGCTACTGGAAGCATCTCTCTAAAATCACAAAAGCAAAGAAGAATGATTATGTTTTTAGAAATTGGTTAAAATAACTAAATATATTTTAATTTCTTTTAAGCTTTCTACTTAAGAGTTGAATAAAAAATAACAGAAAACTTAAAAGTACGTTATAGCTTTTTATTATATACGTATGAATGGTATGTTTTTACTATATTCTAAGAACAAGATATTCTGTCAAACAATATTTTAGAGCATTCATGAAACATTAATAACTGACAAAAATACACACTAGAACTGAAAAGAAATCTAAACATCCAAAAAAAAACATAAAATAATAATAAACCTTCAAACACAGAATTGAACTAATATGGAAACAATCATAGAAAAAAAAACAACTAGAAACAAACATCTGAGAATTAAAACAGTATGTCTTTGTAAAGAAGACCTGGTGACCAGAAGACGACAGTATTTCCACATTAATGTAAAAATGTAACCAATTTTTGATTTTCCTTATTGTTCATGGTGATTTTAAAACTTACTTGTTGCATCAGATATAGATTAGATAGTTTCAGGTGAGTAGCTATCTTATTTTAGACAATTTCTGACTTATGAGAAACATATAGATCTGATTTTAAACAGCATGATCTCCTCTTTTTCACATTTAGAATAATACGTTGATATTAACACCTCAGTTAAACAACTAGCCATAAACAAGAAAAAAATCACTTTAATATGAAAACTTTGCATATCAAAGGTTCTTTGTTAAACTGGGATGGACTTTTAAATAAGATTTAAATTAATCATAAATGTATTTTGTGAGCAGCTGTGCGTACAAAGTGCGTAAAAATTTCTGAAACAATATTGATTCATCCCTTAAGTTGTAGCTTGTTTAGGCAAAAAATGTCATCTAAGTGTGAAGCGGCCAGGTACTATCAAACATAATCTGAAAGTGGTCAGGTACTGGACTATAAATAAGGAAAAACTTTCCAGGTTTACATGAAAGTCAGTGTCACTGGAGGGAAAAAATGAAAATAAAAACGAGGGTACTCAGTAGGACGTCTTTCCAAAGGTGTTGGATGGTAAATTAGTTTTTATGGATGGAGTTTAGTAACATCTTAGTCAGTTTAAATAGAACCAGTTTAAAAGGACATTTCTAGAGAAATGAATAAAACAGATTAAACTCTAACAGACAACAGTTGGACCAGTAAATGAAGAAAACATGGAGGAGAAGCAAACATTTCTGGAATTAGCCAGCTCGCTAAAAACACTCCAAGGGTAGATAAATGACTCATCCAGGAAGTCAATAAAAAACAGACCTACATGTGAAGTTCTGGAGGTTTTTCATGCCTCAGTCAAGGTCAGTGTTCATGAATTAAGAATTTAAAAATGTAGGGCAAAAATGGCCTCTAATGATGTTTTTCTAAACCAAAACCTCTGCAGACTTCAAAAAATTTAATCACAAACACTCATTTGGATGACCCAAAGACCCTATGCTAAAACATTCCGTGTAGACGGTTATATTTGTGTTATACTTAAGTTAGTTTGATCTCAAGTATTTCAAATTAGCTTAAAAGCACAAAAAAAACAAGAAATCTTCTTACATTTTAGAGGATTTTGCATGTAAGCCGTTTAAAATGTGAAAAATGAAGAATAGTGTGAGTGTTTATGTTTGTGTAAGCTATGCAAACTAAAAGGAGGTAAGAAAGGGTCGGTATGACGAACTGTTGCTAAGCAGTAATGGTTGCTAGGTGGGGTGGGGGTAGGATGGGGGTACAGGTTTGCAGTCAGTGATGGAATCTGAGGGTTTACCCATGTTCCCATGTGTGCACGTGACGTGTGATCCTCTGGAATGAAGTGACATGAATACTAATGCAACAGTTTCTATTTCAGACACGCACTCCTCCACACTGAAAAATCAAGACTTATTGCAAACTGAGCTGGAAATGAGTCACAACGACGTTTTGAAAATAAGAATTTCATGTAAATCTGTTTTTCAATCCTATGAAATTTTAAACAATAAAGAAATACTATAACATTTTTAAGTCCCTGTTTCAGATTCAGTAAGAGAAGAATGACTCATCTGTCCTGCGTTTCTTTGCAGAGCAATCAAGGAAAGCTGCAGAATATCTGGCAGTGGAACAGATAAAGTGAAACCAGCGCCCCCATGGCTTTTCCTGGCATGATTACAGGGTTATGCACAGAGGGGGGAAAGCCTTGCAGTTTGCAGGCTTCCCTCCTTGAATCTTCAGAGATTCTGCTTGTGTGTTAGACATACATGGTTTACAGCCAGAGGCTGCATCTCCCTGGTGGCATCTCAGTCTGATATGGTCTGATCCAAGCGGGTGAAGGACAGGCTGGGCAGGTTGGTGGGACGGGACACAGGCAGCCATTTGTAATCAAGATCCTGTGATGTAGGGTCCAAATACCAGTCGTAGTTCTTTAAGAGGTATCTGCAAGCTTCCTAAAAACATGAAAACAGGAAAGGTGGTCTATTTTCAATGTGTTTAAGGCAGAGCAAAGACAAAGTGTTTAAGAGCTAAACCCTCTGCCCAAGCCTATTAGGTCTTAAACTAGCAAAGCTACAGCTTCCACAGCATTTTCATTCCAATTTGAAAAGGCACCTTTTAGCAGCCAATTTTTAATACAACATCAAGTGCTTTGGACGTAATTTGAAGTTTCATATTTGGATTCAGACCTATGTTTTCTGATCTACTTTCATTTCCTAGTGTCTGTTTAGATTCTGATGTCATTCGCAGCATTTCTTATTGGCTCATCCTACGACTTTTTAACCGACCAATCACATCTCCCCCTAACCTTCACTTTATGAATGAGGATTTTCCTGATGTGGGGGGAGGAGCAGGATGAATGAATGGGGAGGATGGCATACGCAGAAAGGATGCTGAGGACCGGGGGTGGGGAAGGAGGGCAGGGGGAAGGATGAAGGAAGGAGAGCGATGAGTCACATCTCTGACCTAGATCCCCACAGACTCCTTGTTACTCTGATTATATCCTCCTCAGTGTGTGAGCAGAAGATGGTCATCATATTAAAAACCAGTCAAACGCAATGGATTACCAGTCATTCTCCGTAAGGAAGTAAAAGACTTAATGCTTATCTTGACTTAAAGAAATAAAAACATCTGGTTGTTGCTTGCAGATCCTGCTTCAAGTTCACTCCCACTATGTGTTTCCATGAGTCTCCAAAGTAAATAGTTTCTCTGTCTCAGTTCTATAAACAGTTGGAGAAATAAAGCAATAATTCTGTTAGTGAAGAAGCTAAATCTCACAATAAAGAAACTAATAGAATTAAAATTTGAGCACCTGTATAATTATTTTTTACTTTATAAAGTTTTCCCAACCGCTGCTTTAAAACTACTGGTCCTCCTAAGAATTTAGTACATCGATTGAAATATTAAAACTTAATCAAACTGTCGTAATGTTATAGTTATCAATCCATTGAACATTGGACATTGGTCATATATATGTGTCTGTGTGTGTGTCCCTTTATTGTCCCATTGTGGGACAATAAAGGGATTTTCTTCTATTCTATGTCCTACCAAGGCTTGCTCATTCGGAAACTCAGAAAATGAGAAAGGTACGTAGGTGATTTCCTTTTCTAATCTAGATAATAGATAAGAGAAAACAACATATTGCATAAATCTTTCCATGGTTTTGTACGAGCTGTACGCACAAGATAAAAACAACTGTTGTTCTGACAAAAAAAAGTTTGAACAAAGACCCAAGTTTATAGTTTAAAGTGGCTATGCTGATTTTTTTACACTTAACAAACTAGCTTAATGTCTCTAAATGTATCTTTTTACATAGATAGACAGAATATCATAAAAAAGCTAACTGCACAAACAAATAACTGTTTTGCATATCATCAAGTCAAATAAGTCTTTATTCCTTAATTTAGAGCATGACTTAAAGTAGACCTTAATAGAAAGCCTTTTTCAAAAATATTTTAGAAAAGACATTATTCGTAATAAATTACTAGGTTGTCCTGACACACCAAATATTTTTTTTTATTTCTTAAAGCTTTGAAACTTAAAGCTTCAGCTTAAAAAGGTGGAATCAGTCTTGTGGAGAGGGTCTTTTTTTCTTAAAATGGTTTGACTTCTTTCTCAGACATTTTTTAGTTTAAGTTGTTACAAATAAACTCAGCCTTATTAATAGCACATTTGCATTGTAGCGAACTATGCTTTTCTCAAAGCAGACAAGGAACCCAAACAGGCCTCCAGCCAAGCATCCAGTAGGAAGGTTAAACCCAAACATAGTGCTAAAGCTGAGCAGGTGTAGAAGAGTGGTGGGATATTTCACCTGGGATTACCAAATGATGGAGAGGTGGAATTTTGCTTCTGCTACGGTCAAAGGGTTCTTAATTCTTTACATAAGACTGGAGATCTAATCATGTTTTATAATAATACACCAGTAGGCAGCTGGCAGTTTAAAAATAAACAACAAACACAATATAAATGAGTCCATGTTAATCAGTGACAGAGAGCCTGCCATAAACATTGGAGTTTTTCTTTTTGGTCAGTAAGCCGTTGGTCCTCGTTTGCATATTTTAATTGCCACCATTAACTTGTTGATCCACTATGCAAATATCCTAATAAAGCTGAGTCTATCTGTAACTCAAACTCAAGAAGAGACAAAACCTTCCCATTATTAAGAGGTGGAGCTGGTTACAAGGCTTTTGTTGGGCTACTCTATAAAAGCCTGGAGCTCAATGCTAATAGAGACATTTTGAATTGAGAAAGCTTCCGGGAGTCAGAAAATATACCCACAGCAGGATTCAGTCACTCTTAGGGCCCCGTTCACACGAAGCCGAACCCTGGCCTAAACGCACAAATTTTTCACCAAACCAGCCTCTCATCCACACGAAGCCGGCGTTTCGGGGGTCTGTAAACGATCTTTTTTTTATTCAGCCTTCAGAGTGGGAAGATTTTGAAAAGCTGTTTTCGCGTTTCCATCTTTAAGCTCTAACCGCATTTTTTTTTTACACGCATGCGTCATAGCGTCGCCTCTAAACACGCATGCGCGACACAGTATCACAACAACAATGGCGCCGTACTGTGTTGAATGGTTGCTGCTAATGCTACTCGCCCTGCTGTCGGGCTTACAACAGAATCTTCTTCTTCTGGAATATCTCCAGGAAGAACAGAGCAATATAGACGACATAGTTCAGCACCTGAATTTGACTGAACCACGAAAATGGACCCGCAGGGCAACCATGTATAAATATTAGTGTGCATGCCCAACATTTCGTCGCTTATTTTTGCTTTGGCACCACAGCGCCACTTACAGGCCTGGCATACATTTTGCAGCGTTTTCATGCATTCGTGTGGACGATCACATTTATTTTACGTCTCCGTCTTTACGACAAACGTTTTGGAAAATATCAGCGTTTCGTGTTCGTTTTGATTTTGTGTGGACAGGGCCTTAGACTATCATGTTCACCTGGAAAAGCCATCTCTCAACAGAGGAGGTGGTCTTAGACATAACCCTCACCTGACTTGCACTTAAACGAGGCATGTGACCGAAACCACTCTGACAAGAGAGTTAACGACCCATCAAAACCCCCTAAGGACCATTAACCCCCCCCTTTGACCTCCTTGGCCAATCCAGTGGAAGGGATCAAAGCCACGTTTTAAATTTTAAATCTTTGTTAGACCTACAGTATATTCATCTAGGTACTTCCCAACACTATTTAGAACTGAAGAACCTCCTGGATGACAGGTGAAATGTCTTTTGAAAACATCACATCCAGTTACCGAGACTAAACTTTTTCGAACATGTCAAGTTTGGCCACTCCTTTTCTGTCTGAAGTGTATCTTGAGTTAAAGTCATGTTCCAAGGGCTCATCCATGACCCACTTATTTCAAATACAATGACTGTGATTTAAAGGAAACAGACCTATCCTACATGCTGGGCAGTATAGACTGTGGTTTACTGGTCATACTTAACAATTCTCTTGCCCTTTAAGCACAGATTGTTTAAGCTGAACACAATTCTTCCTCTGAACTCTTTGAAGCAGTTAGATGTTCCCTGATAAACTTGTAAAGGACTGTGTATCTTGTCTCTATAGGGATGCAATCTTTCAGTCCATTGTGTTGGCTTGTATAATTAGTTATGTTGTTTGTGAGTTCAACTGCCTGCAGATCATCAACCTGCTCAAGCTGTGTAGAGCTGAGCGGATCTTTTTACTCTCTATTGATAATTATCACTATATTTAATGATATTTCTTCTTTTTCCCCAACATTTGCTTCTCCTCGTTGTCGTTGGTAAAAAACCCTTTGATCTGTTCATAGTGGCGAAGAGGCGGGAACTAAAGAAACTGATTAGAAGGACTGGTGTCCTTTTTACACATAGGTTATTATCAGGAAAATCAGTAAAAGATAAATGAAATGATTTGTGAGAAGAATCGGCACTTAAATCTGTGGAAGCCAAAGTTCTGTTTGTGTTAAAGGACAATGACAGAAAAAAAATACATGTTGAATTTGAAAAGTGACAGTCAACATACAGTATACTAAATGTGTTGGATAATGTTAGGTATGTTATATTTTGCTTCCACCAACAAATGTTTGGTTAAATTGGTTTACTTGGTTTCAAACTTAGTTTTTTGTTTTTGTTTTGATTTGTATAGAAAAATGACTAAATCTAAAATGAAATGAAATGACAGCTCAGTATTCTTCAGTTTCTGTTTAATGGAAAGACAGTTGTAGTAGAAACCCAATTTAGGTCTGATCATAGGTTGGGTGGATACTCCTCCTGAGGTGCTTTATCAGGGACAGATTCTCATCTTTTATATATTTAAAATACTAAACAGTTAATAATCCCATGTTTTTTACAAATGCCCCAAAATGTACCAAGAAATAATGATTTGACCAACATTAATACAAGATTTCACAATAGAACTGATCTTGTGTCCTGTGTGTATGTGTTAAATAATTTCTGGCATCACATCTCTATAGACTTTTTTTGTGATAAGTGAGATATTTTTTCCAAATCCTGATGCCTACCTATTGCAGATCCTAGTGAAATTAAAACCTAAAACTGGAGACATTTTTATATTTTCTTTGGCAAAAAAAAAAATCAGGATCAGAAATAAGAAAAGATGGAGATTTCATGAAGAAAGAAAGATAAAGAGACAGGTAGGACCAAAGGTGAAGGAGGCCATTAAAACTGAAATAATAAACAAGAGACAACAGGGGAAATGATGTTTGCATAAGTGATGAAGATGCAAATCTTTCGGATTCAGAGAAAGATAGAGAAGACAATGCCGGGAAACTGATGAAGAAAACAAAGGAAGTAAAAAAACGAATCCAATGCAGAGATGTTAGATTTGGTGTTCTATTATCTCCCCTAAAAAAACATGTCTGAAATCAATCCTGCATGGTATGTTTTCTTTGTTTTGTTTAGTGGAACATTTGTTTTTTTTAGTTGTCTCATACCTAAACATTATTTTTGATTCTTTAAAAAGAAAATTACACAATATCTTTACTCGTCTTGCTGAATCCATTTCACATATCAGAGATTTCTTATGTACCTCGATAAAGAGGTCGAGCTTTGCCATCCTGCCTAGACATTTTGTGCCTCTTTTGCCCTCTGATGTAAAATTTTTCTAAATCCAACACTTCCTCAGATGTATTGTACGCAATCAAGGAACAAAAAGTAATTGTTTTATTAACATGGATTCTATAGGTAGGTGAAGACGGAAGTTGGTGTTGTAAGAAGAATCTCTATCTGGACATCCCTATATCTGGCATGAGTCATGTGTAATAGTGCATAATATATCTGTGTAGGATGTAGGTGTGTTGAGTCATTTCTTGGAGCTACATTTCAGACAGCTTGAGATAACACCCACAATGTGCTGCATTTTTTAATCTGGGACATGTCATTAATGTCAAGGTAAATATAATCTACCTACGTAAGTTAAATAGCACACTTTAACTCTATTATTTAATCCTTTAGATGCAGAGCACTGAGGCGAGCATCTTATCTATCAAAAAATGTCTTTTCCTTAAAAGCCGCACAACATCTTTATTACTTTGTCTTCTTGTCTTTAACATAAAGTTAAAAAATGGCGGTATTAAAAAACAAATACCTTAATAGGCTTCTAGCATGTTGTTTACTTAAAAAATATTTGTTGTTAAATATTTGTAAAGTTTTTTTGTGGTTGTAATATTTGAATTTATTTTGGACTGAGTTGTAAACTTTACAGCTATAGCAATAAATACAGCAAACTCTACAGCTTCATTTTGTTTTAGGATATATATATATATATATATATATATATATATATATATATATATATATATATATATATATATATTACTTATTGTTAACCCTAACCTCTGCAGTTATGATGTGTATCTATGAACTGCAAAGAGTTTTTGTTTGCTTAAAAATGTTAAGGTTATATCAGAATTTATTTTGCCAAATTCTTGCACATCAAAAAATTATCAGCTAGTATTTCAACATCTGAAAAGCATTTTCAGTTTAGTCCGGTCAGCTCAAGGACTCAACGACTTAAAAATCACTGTAATTATGTGTTTGTTGTAAAAGTGAAACATTTGAGTCCATCATTCCTTAGTTTCCAACAGATGAAAAACATTTTATTGATTTATTTGTCAATAATTTCAAGTTCTAGGACGGTGTGCAGAGAGAAGACCTGTGGTGTCATTTGAGGAAGTCTGGGGTAGTAGAGTTAAATGTAAGATTGGGGCAGAACCTGTATGAGAGCTGTAAAAAGGCTAGGCGTTGTCTCAGCTTTGACTGACAGATTGATGGACAGAAACATGGAGAGCAATCACAAAAAATGACAGTTCTGTAAAAAGTCAAGATGTCATACAGGATGTCTCAGCTAGCCAATAACACAATCATGTAGAAGAAAACGTAAAAAGTCTCTACAGCAGGTTTCAGGCATCTAAAAAACATCAGAGGAAGCCTGCTGGGCCCATGCAGTTACCTTAATGGGAAAACAGGTCAGCAGATGTAGTCAGTTTGGGTCTACACATATTCTGCACCATCCATGGGATGTATACAAGGTTCCTGTTTAACTGCTTAAAAGGGTCCTAGTTATTTAATAACTTTACAATTTTTTAAACCAGTAGCTCACCCTGGTTGCACACCAAGGATTTCTAATTTAGATTATCACACCCTGTTGGTATATTGTATTTTATCAATAAGTTTCACACTTTTTTTTTGCTGGTCCTGTTAGTAAACCAAAAGCTTTTGTGTATATTTACCATGACCTCTTTTCCACATGACCAGAGGTACAATGTTCCACATGCATGCAATTACTTAACAAGAAAACAGTGGAGCCAAATGTGTCAACAACAGCCAGAAAAGAAAACTTAAATTCAAGTTTGACCATGAAGACAATTAGCTAATACCAAGAGCAAAAAGGTTAGACATGTCAGTGTGTTGGTGTACAGAGGGAAGAGCTAAAGCTACTGAGGAATGTGGATTTCCTTGCCTAATCGATGGATGCAAGTCCAGGTACCACCAGCAGATGGTGTACAACAATGTTAATGTCTTCAGATCATGCCTGAAGCAAAATGTATTTTCTGCATGGAAAAGGAATACGTAAACACTATTAGGATGAAAGCAGGACATATAAAGTTTTAAATAGAGAATAACATATGTTTATGTTTGATATCGACCAGGCCCCTTAAGCTCTGGTTTTAACACCAGCAACTCAGAATTTCTCCACAAAGGCTCACCGAACTCGTAGAGATGGGCTCCAACAGTCAGCAGTGGGTGACCCATCAGCACCATTGCCTCTTAGGGTTCTGTTCTCTACTCCTCATCTCAGCGCATATTATTAAATATCCCTCAGCACTCCTGTCGG